TACTCACAGTCATCTACTGTTATACAAGTCTATGCCAAAACAGTAGGGGTCTGGCGGCAGGTAGCTTAGTGGGTAAGAGCGTTGTGCCAGTAACCGAAAGGTCGCTGGTTCTAATCCCCGAGCCGACTAGGTGAAAAATCTGTCGATGTGCCCTTGAGCAAGGCACTTAACCCTAATTGCTCCTGTAAGTCGCTCTGGATAAGAGCGTCTGCTAAATGACTAAAAAAAATAATAAAAAAAAATAAAAAAAATAAAAAATAAAAAATGCTAAAATGGCTCATTCCCAAATGGTCACACAGACACCCCTCAGCATCAGGCAGATAGGCTGGAAGGCATACCATAACATCAAATGTATTTCGATTTCAATTACAGATATGGAAAAATAATTTTTGGCCTAAAATGTAGGGGACTGCTAAAATGCTTAATTTCTCAAATGGCAACACAGACACTCAGGCATCCCACACAGAAAGGCATAACATCCCTATAACCAACTCATACATACCATCACCATGTGGCTAATGTATTGTGGTCCAAGCCAACCTTCTGTGTCTGACCAACATGATTGTTGTCTCTTTTGATTTAATGTTATATGTAATTACAAACAGGCAAATACGATTTATATGGAAGAATAGTGTTGTATTGTAATATGACGGTATTGTCTCTGAATGGTATTGTATTGTCCCATTACTAAATAGGCTGTAGTACTGTACGGATCTCACTAGAGGGCTTTATTTAGCTTAGGTCCAGGACCAGGTAAGGGAGTGAAGCATCAGAGATATCATAAAGAAAAGGTTTTCATCACCGTATTCAACATTCCAGATGAAAATTGTACAACAGTTAAATCGTGTATTGCCTTTACCACAATCATTTCTTTAAACGGTATGTTCAATTCCAAACTAAATCATGTGTAATGGCATGATTGAGAGTTGTTTTAGATAAATGTGAACCTCCACATTTGTGCTTATGGAAATGATTGAACTGCAATGCTTGTTACCTCGTAGAACTTCATAATCTTTGCAGAAAATAACCACACATTACATTTGATGTCCTGGCTGCAATATAATAACAGACTTCTGGGACAAATAAAATGTATGGCAAGAAAGAGATTATAATGTCTTCTCCTCCTCTCCAGTGAATATTACCAGCCATTTCCTTCCTTAGCTGACAGTGAGGAATCACTGAGGGGAATAGAGGAAGATGAAACCTCAAAATAACCATTATTATTTTGCAGACCCATCAGCACAAGACAACTAACTATTACTGTTTGTAGGAGGAGGAGAATTCTCGGAGACATAACATATTATAATGTTGTCACTGTACAACATAAATCAAATCCATGTACATCCATTTTACTGCCTCACACGAAACACTCTCGTCAGTATTGTACCTGACCAATCAAGCAGATCAAATGAGCACATATTTTCATAATGTAGCAAGATCATTTTCATAAACTTGTGATAATGTAGCAAGAGGCTTGTTATTGAAGAAATGGGCCAACTGACTGGACCACAAAGCAAAACAAACAAGAAAACTCTCCATCTGTAGCCAACCAACCCAGGGCTCTACACTGACCTTTTTTAGGAGCACGTGTGAACCTCAGTTGGAAAATGTAGACGCAGAAAGAAATGTAGGAGCACAATGAAAAATATTTGAGATAATAAAGCTAGAATCCTTAATTTTATTAGGCATGCTAGTGTTTCTAAATGTAAAAAAAAAAAATTGGTCACAGAGCAAAATATTTAGGCACATACAGTGGGGAAAAAAATTATTTAGTCAGCCACCAATTGTGGCAAGTTCTCCCACTTAAAAGATAGAGAGGCCGATTAATTTGCATCATAGAAGGAGAGTGTCCCTTATCAAAAACCACATGCCCACTGAGTCAACAACTAAGCCACCCTTCTTCTTTCTTTCAAAATTTGAGCGTGCGTCTTAGCAATCTCTGTATCTCTCTCAGAATGACTCTGATCCAAAAAATCAGGTTCAGGAGGTCCAATGAGATGTCTTCTCTGTGTCATGAGACTCTCCGCACTGCTAAAGCTAACTCTCTCTCCTCTGCTCTTGTCCTTCTAGACCTGTCTGCTGCCTTTGATACTGTGAACCATCAGATCCTCCTCTCCACCCTCTCCGAGCTGGGCATCTCCGGCGCGGCTCACTCCTGGATTGCGTCCTACCTGACCGGTCGCTCCTACCAAGTGGCGTGGCGAGAAGCTGTCTCCGCACCACGTGCTCTCACCACAGGGCTCAGTTCTAGGCCCTCTCCTTTTCTCCCTATACACCAAGTCACTTGGCTCTGTCATATCCTCACATGGCCTTTCCTATCATTGCTACGCTGACGATACACAACTAATCTTCTCCTTTCCCCCTTCTGATAACCAGGTGGCGAATCGCATCTCTGCATGTCTGGCAGACATATCAGTATGGATGACGGATCACCACCTCAAGCTGAACCCTGGCAAAGACGGAGCTGCTCTTCCTCCCGGGGAAGGACTGCCCGTTCCATGATCTCGCCATCACGGTTGACAACTCCGCTGTGTCCTCCTCCCAGAGTGCGAAGAGCCTAGGCGTGACCCTGGACAACACCCTGTCGTTCTCCGCCAACATCAAGGCGGTGACCCGCTCCTGCAGGTTCATGCTCTACAACATTCGGAGAGTACGACCCTGCCTTACACAGGAAGCGGCACAGGTCCTAATCCAGGCACTTGTCATCTCCCGTCTGGACTACTGCAACTCGCTGTTGGCTGGCCTCCCTGCCTGTGCCATTAAACCCCTACAACTCATCCAGAATGCCGCAGCCCGTCTGGTGTTCAACCTTCCCAAGTTCTCTCACGTCACCCCCCTCCTCCGCACACTCCACTGGCTTCCAGTTGAAGCTCGCATCCGCTACAAGACCATGGTGCTTGCCTATGGAGCAGTGAGGGGAACGGCACCTCTGTATCTTCAGGCTCTGATCAGTCCCTACACCCAAACGAGGGCATTGCGTTCATCCACCTCTGGCCTGCTGGCTCCCCTTCCTCTGCGGAAGCATAGCTCCCGCTCAGCCCAGTCAAAACTGTTCGCTGCTCTGGCACCCCAATGGTGGAACAAGCTCCCTCACGACGCCAGGACAGCGGAGTCACTCACCACCTTCCGGAGACATTTGAAAACCCCACCTCTTTAAGGAATACCTGGGATAGGATAAAGTGTTCCTTCTAACCCCCCCCCCCCCCCCCAAATTGTAAAGTGGTTATCCCACTGGCTATAGGGTGAACGCACCAATTTGCGAGTCGCTCTGGCTAAGAGCGTCTGCTAAATGACGTTAATGTGCCCTTGAGCAAGGCACTTAACCCTAATTGCTCCTGTAAGTCGCTCTGGATAAGAGCGTCTGCTAAATGACTAAAATGTAATGTAAATGTATAGGAACACGTCAACTATGACAGACAAATTGAGAAAAAAAAATCCAGAAAATCACATTGTAGGATTTTTAATGAATTGATTTGCAAATTATGGTGGAAAATAAGTATTTGGTCACCTACAAACAAGCAAGATTTCTGGCTCTCACAGACTTGTAACTTCTTCTTTCAGAGGCTCCTCTGTCCACTCGTTACCTGTATTAATGGCACCTGTTTGAACTTGTTATCAGTATAAAAGACACCTGTCCACAACCTCAAACAGTCACACTCCAAACTCCACTATGGCCAAGACCAAAGAGCTGTCAAAGGACACCAGAAACAAAATTGTAGACCTGCACCAGGCTGGGAAGACTGAATCTGCAATAGGTAAGCAGCTTGGTTTGAAGAAATCAACTGTGGGAGCAATTATTAGGAAATGGAAGACATACAAGACCACTGATAATCTCCCTCGATCTGGGGCTCCACGCAAGATCTCACCACATGGGGTCAAAATGATCACAAGAACGGTGAGCAAAAATCCCAGAACCACACAGGGGGACCTAGTGAATGACCTGCAGAGAGCTGGGACCAAAGTAACAAAGCCTACCATCAGTAACACACTACGCCGCCAGGGACTCAAATCCTGCAGTGCCAGACGTGTCCCCCTGCTTAAGCCAGTACATGTCCAGGCCCGTCTGAAGTTTGCTAGAGTGCATTTGGATGATCCAGAAGAGGATTGGGAGAATGTCATATGGTCAGATGAAACCAAAATAGAACTTTTTGGTAAAAACTCAACTCGTCGTGTTTGGAGGACAAAGAATGCTGAGTTGCATCCAAAGAACACCATACCTACTGTGAATTATGGGGGTGGAAACATCATGATTTGGGGCTGTTTTTCTGCAAAGGGACCAGGACGACTGATCCGTGTAAAGGAAAGAATGAATGGGGCCATGTATCGTGAGATGTTGAGTGAAAACCTCCTTCCATCAGCAAGGGCATTGAAGATGAAACGTGGCTGGGTCTTTCAGCATGACAATGATCCCAAACACACCGCCCGGGCAACGAAGGAGTGGCTTCGTAAGAAGCATTTCAAGGTCCTGGAGTGGCCTAGCCAGTCTCCAGATCTCAACCCCATAGAAAATCTTTGGAGGGAGTTGAAAGTCTGTGTTGCCCAGCGACAGCCCCAAAACATCACTGCTCTAGAGGAGATCTGCATGGAGGAATGGGCCAAAATACCAGCAACAGTGTGTGAAAACCTTGTGAAGACTTACAGAAAACGTTTGACCTGTGTCATTGCCAACAAAGGGTATATAACAAAGTATTGAGAAACTTTTGTTATTGACCAAATACTTATTTTCCACCATAATTTGCAAATAAATTCATTAAAAATCCTACAATGTGATTTTCTGGATTTATTTTTCTCATTTTGTCTGTCATAGTTGACGTGTACCTATGATGAAAATTACAGGCCTCTCTCATCTTTTTAAGTGGGAGAACTTGCACAATTGGTGGCTGACTAAATACTTTTTTTCCCCACTGTATGAGAGTAATCTAGGGTCCCAGAATGTCGCGCAACCTGTGCGAGTGGAGAGTGTACAGATGTGGTGTTACGTAGTGGGGGATGGGTGCAGGTTACACAGAAGCGGTGGAGGAGGTGGCTAGGCTAGGGTATGCGTCTGTCATGGCATCTAATAAAAGGTCACACCTGTCGGGAGCAGAGAAGAGGAAGACGAGAGAAGAGGAGAAGGAAAAGAAGGGTAGAGGTTTAATACAGTTGGTTGATTCATTATTTATTTTCATCTGTTGAGTTGCTAGCTATTAGCAAACTATTGTAGTTGTCAATCAATTTCTAACTAGCTTCTGAAATAAATAAACACACCCAATACCATGTGTAAGCAGATCATGCAGACATGACTAAGTTGCTTTGTTTTTTTTTTTTTTTTACAAATAAATTAAAAATGAAAAGCTGAAATGTCTTGAGTCAATACGTATTCAACCCCTTTGTTATGTCAAGCCTAAATAAGTTCAGGAGTAACAATTGCTTAACAAGTAACATAATAAGTTGCATGGACTCACAGTGTGTGCAAAAATAGTGTTTAACATGATTTTTTAATGACAACCTCATCTCTGTACCCCACATACAATTATCTGTAAGGTCCCACAGGTCGAGCAGTGAATTTCAAACACAGATTCAACCACAAAGACCAGGGAGGTTTTCCAATGCCTCGCAAAGAAAGGCACCTATTGGTAGATGGGTAAAAATAAAAATAAACTTGCAGTTGTAATCGCTGCCAAAGGTGATTCTAACATGCATTGACTGAGGGGTGGGAATACTTATGTAAATTAGATATATTTCTGTATTTCCTTTTCAATAAATTTGCTAACATTTCTTAAAACATGTTTTCACATTGTCATTATGGGGATTTGTTTATAGATGGGTACAAAAAAATCTATTTAATCCATTTTGAATGCAGGCAGTAACACAACCACATTTTGAATAAGTCAAGGGGTATTAATACCCTCTTGAAGGCACGGTATGTGAGAATGCTGTCCATTGACTACAGTTCAGCATTCAACACTATTGTTCCCTCCAAGCTCGACACCAAGCTCAGAGCCCTGGGTCTGGACACCTCCCTCTGCAACTGGATCCTGGACTTCCTGACGGGCAGACCACAGACTGTGAGGACTGGCAACAACACCTTCTCCACACTGACTCTTGACACATGGGCCCTCCAGGGGTTTGTCCTCAGTCCTGTGCTGTACTCGCTTTGCATGACACCAACTCCATCATCAAGTTTGCTGACGACACCATGGTTGTAGGCCTGATAACCAACGACGACGAGTCAGCCTATAGGGAGGAGGTAAGTGAACTGGCATTGTGGTGCAAGGACAACAACCTCTCCCTCAACAGTTCATTGTTGACTTCTGGAAGCAGAGGAGAGAACATGCCCCGATCCACATCAACGTGACTGCAGTAGAGAGAGTCAGCAGTTTTAAGTTCCTCGGCGTCCACATCCCCAAGGACTTGACATGGACCAACAACACCACCACTCTTGTCAAAAGGGCACAACAGCGTCTCTACTTCCTAAGGCGGCTGAAGAAATGCAGCACGCCGCCCTGGATCCTCTCTAAATGCTACCACTGCACCATCGAGAGCGTCCTGACCAGTTGCATCACGGCTTGGTATGGGAATTGCTCCATCCACGACCACAAGGCCCTCCAGCCGGTGGTGAAGAAGGCCCAGTAAATCACTCGAACCGTGCTCCCACCCATCCAGGACATTTACTCAAAACGGTGCCTGAGGAAGGCCCGCAGCATCATCAACGACCCCACACACCCCAGCCATGAGCTGTTCACTCCCTTACTGTCGGGCAGACGGTATTGGGAGCATGAGGTCTGATACCAACAGGGTAAGAGACAGTTTCTGTCTACAAGCCATCATACTAATGAACACTTGAACTTAGGGCTGGGCAGTATACCATATTTTACGATATACCGGTAGTCATGCATGGACCAGTTTGGGTTTTTACTTTACCTTCTATAACGGTATTTGAATGTTTGGTTTGTTAAATGTGATACGCCGTGTATAACGTCAATTTTTATAGTTTACTTCGCTACTAGAGTCCTCTCTCTCCATGCCGCTTTCCACACAGACCTAGCCCCGCCCCCTGTCACTCAAGGAGCGCATTTGTTGTTACTCCTCGACAAGATACTTGCGTTCAGTCAATGCAGCACATGCAACAATGTTGAAGACAACGATGCTGTTTTCACTTTGCTTCTAATATAAATCCTCTAGTGTTCTATAATTACTTTGTGATTCTTACATCTGCAAACAGCTAGTTTGTCTTTTCTTAGTAAGTTGGGTCTAAATCTTGTTAGCCGCTAATGATAATCACTAATTCTAATTGCTAGCTAGCTAACAAATGTACTGAGTCAGAACAAAAGTAACTACCTATATAGCCTGATAATACCAGTGATGGTGTAGACCTACATTTGCATGTTTTTTGTGCAACAGTATCTTCTAAATCAAAGGAATACGCGAAGCAAGAATATGTTAGCTACAGGAAGTAGCTGAGAAAACATTAAATGTAGCCAAAGATTATAGGGTTCCCTAGGAAACACTTGTAAACACTTTGGTTCCTACCCTATCACAATAACTCATTTGTTCATGTCAAACACTGTATTCAAAGTGCCCACTATTATCTTCTAAATATAGAATTAGAATAATCATTCTATTTCCATGACTCCAACAGTTCACCCAAGTGTTTTGCTCTAAATCACAAGTCAAATCGCAATAGCAACATTTGGTTAAAAATAAGGCCTAGAATGTGCAGCTTTTCATGGCAGTGTGGAAATGACCTCAAATGAGTGCAGGAAATGCAGAAATTGATGACAATTGTGAAAATAATTTTGGATTGAAGTTGAATTGAACAGTATAAAACAATCAGAATGGAGAAAGACCCATTGAAATCAGTTAGAATGTATGTGTTGCCACCCTAGGGTCACACACTACTCATAAAGCAAATTTTAACTTTTATTATTAAAAAACATAAAATATCATCAAATACCGTCATACCATCTAATAAAATAAAGAAAACAGTGATATGAACATACAGTGATATGATATTTTGGCCATATCGCCAAACCCTACTTGAACTGGACTGACCACCTGCACTGACTCTCCGCACCTTAGCACAAATGCACTCACTCACACCCACACATATACATTCATGCTACACACATCACAACTGCTGCTACCAGACTCTTATTAGTATTGCTAAATTCTGTACAATTTTCCCCAATCCCCCCTTCCCCAAAAATGTGTAAATATTGGACTATAAATTGTGCCTTCCTCTGTTATACCTATACTAAAATGTTTATTCTATTCTACTGAGCCATTTACTTTATGTTCATATTCTTATATTTTATTATTTATTATTGTTGTTGCATTGTCGAGAAGGAACCTGAGAGTAAGCATATCGTTCGGTGGTGTATACCATGTGTATCCTGTACATATGACCAATAGAACTTGAAACTTGAAAAGGAAGAAGGCTGGAATGTTAAGTGACCAAGAAATCAAGAAATCGGTCCAGGCTAGAACACATGAATACCTAGAAAATGGCTAAGGTGCAACCTACAAGGAAAATGACTGAGATGTGAAGTGACCAAGAAATAGGTCCAGGGAGGACTAATATAGTAGTGAATGATTTTGATTTAGTAAACAATACTACAGATCTGCAAATGATGTATAGATTCATCCCAAATTAATAAAATATTGGAGCTAAAATAACAAACGGTGGAAAATATGAAAAGAAACACTAATGTACTAATTTATGAGTGAAAATAAATCAAAACTCCTAGTTGAAATTCAGACCATATTAGGGTATTCTCTGCTAAAGTACTGGGTATACTATTAATCACTATGCTCAAAATGTACTGTACTACAGAGATATGGCAATACTAAAGTACACAACAGCAATCCAGCGATCCAAGAGAAGATAGTATCCAGAGGTAAAAAATAAGCAGTGATATTTCCAAATTATAATTTAAAAGAAACATTACTAAATGTTAATAACAATATCGTATATTATTATTATTATTATTATTATTATTATTATTATTATTATTATTATTACTACTACTACTACTACTACTATTACTACAATCCTCATTGCTGATAGCTTCAGGCAGAAATAACAAACAGCCATAACGCATTATTAACTCAGCAACGTCTTTGCAATAAACTGATGCTATTCAATAACAATAACTACATGACATTGTTATTATCATAATGTTATTATTATTCCATTATTTTGAAGACTATACTACAACCCAAAAAACATTTGGAGGCCATCCTAATCCAACGCCTGAGAAGAGCCCAACATTTGCCAAAAGCAAACCAGCAATAAAGTCACACAAGTCCAACGGGACTTCCGTATCCCATAACAGACAGAACAAGCTCCTTACCTGGTCCCTTTGAATGCATGGCAGCGAGGTCCTCCTGTGTGACTTGCTGTTGGACTGACTGTGTGCCATGTCTGAGGAAATCACAGAACTGGACCTCCTTCGCCTTTTAAACACAGGGGTCTCGTTCCTTTCCCTTGGTCCAGTCACGGAGGGGTTACAGTCCTCACTTTGTATCCCTTGGTTCGGAAGAAGACTATCAGCATACCTCGCCAGTAGGATACCCAACACTCCCACCAGGTACGCCACGTAAGGTCTCCAAGTGGCCCCCGCTTTGTGCAGCGAGATAAGCGAGATAGTCCGAACGACGCTGACGAAAACTATGACAGAAATGCCGTGCTTGAGCCGTGCTACCATGAGTGCGCCGGTGGCCAGGCAGGCGAGCACGACTGCGGCCCCTGGCGCGCTTAGGAAAAACAGCTGCTGTTCATCCGTCGCGTCCCGTCGTGCACAAGAGCCTACTCCGCTTATGCTACTGAGCTCAGTCCTCGGGTCGAAAAATTGTACTGCCAGAGCGAGAAAAACCGAAAGCGAGCCCACACATACAGCACACCGGAGTCTTTGGGGACCCTAGTGAGCACGAGCCTCACCATGCACGACTCATAATATGAGCCACCCGGGTCGCGACTGTCGCACACTGGCTGGATGACATGTTTTCACATAACCATTGCGCTCTGGCGCCCTGAAGATTTTATAGTGAGCACTGCTGATGTTACTTCTGCTCCGTAGACCTACTACACTACTGCTACTACTTTCAGATTCTACTGGCATCACTCATTTGGAAGTGTATGAACTTCTAGACCATAGGGTCTAGCGGGTCATGGGAAAGGACATGAGTTATTATCGATGCTGAGAGATGTTGACAGAACGAACCAAGCCCCTTGACACATAATACAACTAAAATAAATACAGCGAGAAGATAATTAATGGCCACATAGGTCAGCTATTTCATCATACGCGTCAAACAAACGAGTTTCCATTTACGCAAGGTGACCAGGCGACAGACTATTTTTTAAATATTTGTTCCTTAGTTATTCAGGGGAGTAATGAAATATATGAAATGCCCCGAAAGAAGAGATATGCAGTGAGGCAGAATGACAGTAGAGAAACAGACCAACCAACTCCTGACGTCTTGCAGAGCAGATCTAGGCCGTTGCTTTCCTCACATCACATCATCATCATCCACACACAAACACACATCCGGAGCAGCGCTGTTGCATGCCCTCCTTTGTACTACTCCGTCACACTTCTTTTGGTATTTTTTCCGTCTTCTTCTTGCCTCCTTTCAGTTTTCCTCCGTCTTTCCAGGAGTTGTCTTTGCAAAAACACGAATGTATTTCCAGGTAGTTTAAACAATCCCACACACGCTCATAAATTGAATTATTCTTCTCCTTTCATGTTTAGAGTACCCTAACGGAATTATTGCTCAAGCATGAGCGCCCGCTGCCTCCGATGATTCCAATGTTAATTGCGGTGGTAATGCGCATCGGTCTTCGAGGTAGTTGTGGCTTGGTGTTGTGAAGCAAGGAGGGGATTCCTTCCATATGTTAGTCATCAACTCTGAAACCGCCCGTGCATGAGGGTGTGAGTGTTCTCCTGCCTCAAACTCTTTCACACCCGGGAGTAGAGGAGTAGGAAAGTAGGGGATGCAAGCGCAGTGCAACCCCCAAATCATTCACTACCCAGGCTGCACCGTATGGGATTAGGCGCTGTCCCAGATTTGAAACGTGGAAAAATGATATGTATGAATATGCACATATCACATACCAACCCACATAAATATTTATTCATGTTTTTTTAAATGGGTAAGCCCTAGCACTTCAGGAAGAGCTGCTCCACAAGTCACCAAGGAATGGTGAGAAAAAGAGAGAGTTCATTTGAGAATGCATCACTGTATTGATGTATTCCTCTCAATGCATTAATTTAGAATAAATTTGAATATATGAAGTGTTTTGTAACATTTCGATGGCCATGCACACGTTTTGTTAAAACATCAATTAAAATGACTTATTAATGAATTATTAAGAGAGTCACTACTCTTCACTCATTTGTAGTGAAGGAATATTCTGAGACATTCTGAGAATACCACCTGGATTGACTCCTCCGTTTCCACCTCACTGAGAGGTAATTTAAAATGTCAATACTTCTAAAGTGTTAATGATGATGGGGTGTTGGTGTGTGTGTTTGTGTAAAAGTATTTAGTCAGCCACCAATTGTGCAAGTTCTCCCACTTAAAAAAATGAGTCCTCTGTAGCTCAGCTGGTAGAGCACGGCGCTTGTAACGCCAAGGTAGTGGGGTCCATCCCCGGGACCACCCATACACAAAAAATGTATGCACGCATGACTGTAAGTCCCAAAGCGTCTGCTAAATGGCATATTATTATTATTATATTATTATGAGAGAGGCCTGTAATTTTCATCATAGGTACACGTCAACTATGACAGACAAAATGAGGAAATAAAATCCAGAAAATCACATTGTAGGATTTTTTATGAATTTATTTGCAAATTATGGTGGAAAATAAGTATTTGGTCAATAACAAAAGTTTCTCAATACTTTGTTATATACCCTTTGTTGGCAATGACACAGGTCAAACGTTTTCTGTAAGTCTTCACAAGGTTTTCACACACTGTTGCTGGTATTTTGGCCCATTCCTCCATGCAGATCTCCTCTAGAGCAGTGATGTTTTGGGGCTGTCGCTGGGCAACACAGACTTTCAACTCCCTCCAAAGATTTTCTATGGGGTTGAGATCTGGAGACTGGCTAGGCCACTCCAGGACCTTGAAATGCTTCTTACGAAGCCACTCCTTCGTTGCCCGGGCGGTGTGTTTGGGATCATTGTCATGCTGAAAGACCCAGCCACGTTTCATCTTCAATGCCCTTGCTGATGGAAGGAGGTTTTCACTCAAAATCTCACGATACATGTCCCCATTCATTCTTTCCTTTACGCGGATCAGTCGTCCTGGTCCCTTTGCAGAAACACAGCCCCAAAGCATGATGTTTCCACCCCCATGCTTCACAGTAGGTTCTTTGGATGCAACTCAGATTCTTTGTCCTCCAAACACGACGAGTTGAGTTTTTACCCAAAAGTTCTATTTTGGTTTCATCTGACCTTATGACATTCTCCCAATCCTCTTCTGGATCATCCAAATGCACTCTAGCAAACTTCAGACGGGCCTGGACATGTACTGTCTTAAGCAGGGGGACACGTCTGGCACTGCAGGATTTGAGTCCCTGGCGGCGTAGTGTGTTACTGATGGTAGGCTTTGTTACTTTGGTCCCAGCTCTCTGCAGGTCATTCACTAGGTCCCCCCGTGTGGTTCTGGGATTTTTGCTCACCGTTCTTGTGATCATTTTGACCACACGGGGTGAGACCTTGCGTGGAGCCCCAGATCGAGGGAGATTATCAGTGGTCTTGTATGTCTTCCATTTCCTAATAATTGCTCCCACAGTTGATTTCTTCAAACCAAGCTGCTTACCTATTGCAGATTCAGTCTTCGCAGACTGGTGCAGGTCTACAATTTTGTTTCTGCTGTCCTTTGACAGTTCTTTGGTCTTGGCCATAGTGGAGTTTGGAGTTTGACTGTTTGAGGTTGTGGACAGGTGTCTTTTATACTGATAACAAGTTCAAACAGGTGCCATTAATACAGGTAACGAGTGGAGGACAGAGGAGCCTCTTAAAGAAGAAGTTACATGTCTGTGAGAGCCAGAAATCTTGCTTGTTTGTAGGTGACCAAATACTTATTTTCCACCATAATTTGCAAATAAATTCATTAAAAATCCTACAATGTGATTTTCTGGAATTTTTTTCCTCAATTGTTCTGTCATAGTTGACGTGTAAAATTACAGGCCTCTCTCATCTTTTTAAGTGGGAGAATTTGCACAATTGGTGGCTGACTAAATACTTTTTTCCCCACTGTATGTATGTGTGTGTGTGTGTGTGTGTGTGTGTGTGTGTGTGTGTGTGTGTGAAGTTGTCATCAATGTTTCAGGAGACATCTCTGAACTGTACATCCGTGTCTCTCTGCATGCACATGTACACTGAGTGTACAAAACATTAGGAACACTTTCCTAATATACAAAACCATGGTGCTTGCCTACGCAGCTGTGAGGGGAACGGCACCTCCTTACCTTCAGGCTCTGATCAGACCCTACACCCGAACGAGGGCACTACGTTCATCCACCTCTGGCCTGCTAGCCCCCCTACCTCTACGGAAGCACAGTTCCCGCTCAGCCCAGTCAAAGCTATTCGCTGCTCTGGCACCCCAATGGTGGAACAAGCTCCCCCACGACGCCAGGACAGCGGAGTCACTGACCACCTTCCGGAGACACTTGAAACCCTACCTCTTTAAGGAATACCTGTAATAGTATAAGAGTAATCTTTTTACCTTTTTTAGGCTTGCATATCTATCATATCCTCTTTTTGTTAAACTTTCATTAATTACCCACCCTTACTCGATAAGTCTGCTAACTTAATTGTAAAGGTCTTCATTGGTTACTTATTTTGTTTGACTTTTTATATATATATCTTAATACCTTAAGACCAAAAATATGCTGCTTAAAGATGCAGAAATTGCTCTACCTTTTCCTGGTTGCTACAATTCTAATAGTTCACCTAATTTCAGTTTATGTGACAAAACAAGCAGCTATAGCAGGGGTGGGCAAACCTTTTGGCTCAAGGGCCACATTGAGTTTTTGAAACCAAGTGAAGGGCCACATAATATAATGAAAATATTATGGCCACATAATGAAATATTATGGCCACATAATGAAAGATAAAAAAAAACTAGAAAAAAAAAACTAAATGAAGAAAATTAATAAATGGTAAAGTGGTTGTCCCACTGGCTTTCATAAGGTGAAGGCACCAATTTGTAAGTCTCTGTCAAGGGCTGAGGTGTATGAAGTGTGGAAGTCAGGCGCAGGACACCGAAGCTTAGTCCAACAAAGTTTACTGTGAAAACCACTAGGCAAAAAATACAGTAAACGGCCTCAACAATAAAACAGAGGCGAGCAATACGCAAACTGTGCGTAAAACAAATAAGCAAGAAAACAGATACAAAACACGCAGCACAACGGATAGGCGAAAAACAACACACAATCTAACCAATGCAAAACAGGGAACTTATAGGACACGTAATCAGACACAAACGGACACAGGTGTAAAAGACAGACCAAAGCAATCACACCAAGAAACATACAACGGTGGCAGCTAGTACTCCGGGGACGGCGAACGCCGAAGCCTGCCCGAACCAGGAGGAGGAGCAGTCTCGGCAGAATCCGTGACAGTCGCTCTGGATAAGAGCGTTTGCTAAATGACGTAAATGTAAAATGTAAATATAAATAATACAGTATATGCGTGACAAAACATGTGAAGCCTTTATTCATTTTCAGATTGACACCCAACTACTAATGTACTGGTGTACATATGCTTGCAGAACAATTGTACCCTTATACCATCTCTACCCTTGTTTTTTGTGAACAAAATCTTCACAAAACTTTCACAAAATTGATATAATTTATAACATCACAGACACAGTCAAACACACACACAGATCCTGCATCCCTACCCTTGTAAAGTACAATCAAACTTAAAAATCTATATATATATTATATGACTGGAGACATACAAAATGTAACAGCAGATGTGTAAAAAAAAATATTCCAAAATTTTAGTGAAACACATGGTAAGAGCATCCGTTTAATTTGGAATGGACTGTTTTTTAAAGCATATTAAGGAACAATTCTCATCTCCATTGTGAGCCATGTTTAC